GTGGTGGCCGAGGATGTCGACCTTGACATCCTCTCCCCACTGGAAACCAGACGCACGCTCGGCGAACTGGATCTGGCGCACGAAGCGCTTTCCCCAGGACAGGAAACCGCTGCCCAAGCCATGATAAAGTTCCTTACCGTCAAATGGGCGAATGCCCAGCTTGTGTTGCCTCGTGTCCGGCACAGGTGGTGCGGCGTAACCCGGCGTTGTTGGTGGTGGTGCCGGTGGCTGGTACTGCCGCGGCGGCTCAAAGTGCTGTGGCAGTGCCGGCTGTGGAGCCTGTGCATCTCCACGTTCGCGGCCGCGTTTGCGTAGTCGCGCTGCCTCATGCCAAAGTAAGTCGCCGGGGAAACACCTGGCGAATTACATGGCGGTGGCGTTTGATCTAGGGCTTGACGGTCCATCGCCCTCCCTAGACTGAGCGAAGAACCGAACACGCTGGCCTCCTGGCCTTTAAGCCGCTCCTTCTCCTCCTGTCGCTCCTGCGATGCCTCCAGGCGCTCCATGCGCTCCGTGAGTCCCGTGAGAAGGTCCAGCAGCTTCTCCTGCGTGTCCTTCGGCTTCTCCGCCGTCTTGACCTCCTTATCTTCGTCGTACTGGCCGCCAGCCCTTTCGTGACCGGCCTTTGCTTCCGACTGCACGCGGTCTTCGTCCGCGGCAACAGTATGAACCATTGGACCCATAACCTTTTAGATTGTAGCGATACTGTGAAAATATGGAAAGTGATATTGACAGTTACTACTGTCTTCCTGCAATATCTTCCGGCAACCATCCGTTGCCGTCCCTGCTTGCGCAATCGTACAGTCGGCGCCCGAACCGGTCTAGAGAACCGTGATCATGGTCAACTTCCAACACCTGGCGTAGACCAGACCGCAAGAATCCCTTCTTCCGTGTCGCTCTGCTCGACCGTGGATGGCAAACTCTCGGGAGTGGACGGCGCGCATCTTGAGATTTTCTGCCTCTTCGAGACTCCTTCCCCAGCAGCGTTAACATGAGGGGAGGGGTCACTCGATCTTTTAAGCGACTCTCGTACGCGTTTGAAACCAATGATGATCTCGAGCGTGGCGGTCACACCGCCTGGTGTCTTCTGCCTCTTAGAGGCTTCCTCACCAGGACTTGAACTCTATCTCGAGCGTTTGCCACCGGTCACGATCTAGATGTAATAGGCTCCGTTAGAGAAAAGCAACTGAAGACACCTTAACACCTGTGAGTACAATTGACCTTCATGTCGTCTCTGCTTGAATCTGTGCCGATTTCTCTGAGTCAGAGAAAGATTTAAGAGTGAATAGCAGCGTTCGCGCGCAATTTTCGCGCGCTGCAGCCCTTGAAGATCGCGGCACTTCAATTTCGAAAATATCGCTACATGAGGGTGAAGTATGAAAGCATTTTCTCTTAAAGATAAAGTTTCAACCGGTTGCTCAATGAGGGTGTCATAAAAAAGGGATTAAACGGTTTTTGGTAATCACACTAAATTCTGATGACATCAAAGAATTCGGTTTTTATCACCGCGTTTAATAACGATTTTAGGGACCTTCTAGCCCTTGGATAAAAAAAATCAGAAGACGGTTATACGCCTAAAAAAGGAAATTTTTGGTCTGTTTCGCTTAAACAAACTTGTTATATGTGATAAAACAACCGGTCTCAACCAAGATGTACATGCCATTATGAAAATTCAATATGGGACACTGATTAGTATTCAATGAATATTTGACCGAGAGCGTGGCTCGTCAACAAGTAGAGCCTTAAAAGGTTCCGTTACGACCTTGCCGTGACTTCGTCCTTGTCACGTAGCGTCCACTTTAGTCAGCTCAAGTATATCG